CAGATATTGGAAGGCTGCTATGAGGTCTTCTCGCAGCTTCTCTTCCTCAGCCTGTCTTCATAAGGGAGGTGCTCCAGGCCTCTTACCATCCTCGTGGCCTCCTCTGGACTTACTCCAGCAGCTCCATGTCCTTTTTATGTTGAGGACACCAGAACTGGACACAATACTCCAAGTGAGGCCTCACAAGAGCAGAGTAGAGGGGCAGGATCACCTCCTTTGACCTGCTGGTCACGCTTCTTTTGATGCAGCCCAGGATACGGTTGGTTTCTGGGCTGCAAGCACACACTGAAGCCGGCTCATGTCAAGCTTCTCATCAACCACCACCCCCAAGTCCTTCTCTGCAGGGCTGCTCTGAATCTCTTATATGCCCAACCTGTAGCTGTGCCTGGGATTGCCCTGATCCAGCTGTAGGACCTTGCACTTGGCTTGGTTAAACTTCATGAGGTTGGCATCAGCCCACCTCACAAGTGTGTCCAGGTCCCTCTGGATGGCATCCCTTCCCTCCAGCGTATCAACCGAGCCACACAGCTTGGTGTCGTCGGCAAACCTGCTGAGGCTGCATCAATCCCACTGTTCATGTCGTCAACAAAGATGCTGAATAAGACAGGTCCCAACACCAATCCCAGCACCAAACGATGCACTCATTACTGTTTTCCAACTGGACATTGAGATGTTTACCACAACTCTTTGCACGCGGCCATCCCATCAGTTCTTTATCCACTGTGTGGTCCATCCATCAAATTGATGTCTCTCCAATTTGGAGACAAATGATGTTTTGTTACATGTTAAGATCTTACATTGCTTGGAAGTGACTCAATGCATGAGACAAATGGTAAAAAGATTCATTTAGTCTATTTCAATACTAGAAGTTGTGGATATATGAAGTTAAAAGAAGACATGTTATATAGCACCAATGTTGGTAGAAAATTAGACTGTACTAATTCTGGCAAATCCAATAAAAATATTCATAGAACACATCCATGCATACAGTGAAGAGGAAAAATATGTATTTTTACATATAAATATACTCTCATATAAACAAACTTGTATAGAAGGACTTGATGAGAAATTTGCTTCACCAAATTCAAGCCAACAATGAAATAAAACAACATCTTTGCTTTAGATGAACTCAACTGAATTATTGATAAACAGAATTATAAGATTAGGAACGGATGTATTTGAAAGATAAAACTATGATACCCTGCACAATCTCTCTTTCAAAGGTTCTAGTGCATTCCAAATGAGGACAGACTGAGCCACGAAAGTCACTATTATCCCTGTAATAGAATCGCCTGAATACATGTAGAGACAACCTGCAAGTCGGTTGGTTGTTTTGAGAAGCGAAAAGTCAGATAAATTAAAGCAAGCAAAACAACTTCAGCACAATCTGAATTCAAGGCCTGTAAATGTAACAAAGAGGATAAACATCAGTGATTCTGTTGCATCATTTTCTGAATAATATCTTCTAATGCTTCAGAGTTTCAGGGGTTTTCTGAGTTTACTTAGTCCAGCTACATAAAAGCTCTTTCAAAATGGAGCAAACAGTCTAAAGCAGAGATGGCAGAAAGTGTCTTTTGGCTTATGAATCTAATCAATGCTGTGATCTGCAACAAGGTGAGAGCTATTACTTCTGAAAACTTAGGAGGCATGATGAGCCAGAACAGTCAGCTCAGTTTGCCTGCTGACAACAATACCTTCTTTGTACTTCAAACTGATTTCGAAATAACATTCTGATGAGTATGACTGGTATACCAGTGCCAGCACCAGGATTTTATTTAAGAGAAGCAGAGTTTATAACATGAACGTTTCCAATCAAGATTCAAACCAAAGGCAACTAAACCATAAAAAAGATATGAATAAAGAATGTAATTTGCCATCCTGAGATCTATGAGAGGGACTTTTCATCAGGGACTGTAGTGATAGGACAAGGGACAACAGGTTCAAGCTTGAACAGGGGAGATTTAGCTTAGACACAAGGAAGAAATTTTTTACTGTGAGAGCAGTGAGGCTCTGGAACAGGCTGCCCAAAGAGGCTGTGAATGCCCCATCCCTGGAAGTGTTCAAGTTGGACAGGGCCTTGAGCAACCTGGTCTAGTGTGAGCTTCCCATGCCCATGGCAGGGGGTTGGAACTAGATGATCTTAAGGTCCTTTCAACCCAAACCATTCTATGATTCTATCCTTTAAAATAACATCATGAAAATTAAGAGTGAGAGTAATATATTACATTTGTATATCCCATCCTCCTCATACCTTTGTGTTTGTTATTTTCTTTGCTAAAGGTCACAGTTAGCTACAGTTCAGCTTGTCTATCTTTAACTAATCAACAAAAATGGACAGTTCAAGAAAATAAAACCAAAATCTCCATAGATAACAAACCAAAATAAAACTATTTGATCCTCTGCCTGCTGAGTAACACCGTGATTCCAAATTAATGATTCAAATGAGTCTATAATGTGTATACATGCACACACACACACGTAAAGACCACAGAGAATAATGTTACCTTTTACTTTCTAATTTTTCAAGCTCCTCCCGTTGTTGTCTCTCAAATTCTAGCCTGATTTAAAAACAAATAAAGAACACAGTTAAAAGGTTATTATTTCCTGAACATCCCAAAACCCGGGAAGATACGATGCATTTCAGTGTCTGTTTTTAACAGTGGTACAAATCAAAAGTTTCATAAAACTACTTTCCACAAGAACAGAACATATCTCCTTCATTAGGGTTACAAATTAGGTATCATGCTGACACAAGTAGAAACAAAAAGTAAATGAATTTCGGGGGGGGGGGCAGAGGGAAATATTTAAGAAGTTAAACAAGACAGAGAAAAGATTAGCATAGCCTCTGCAAGTTAACTACATGCAGGCATAGCAATCAATACATAGAAATTGAATTTCTCTACCTTAGACAGATCGGTCCTTTTACAGGAAAAAGACTGCCATTGGAGGCAGGGGAAAACAGAGCGATCAATTAAGAAAGGAACTGATAGAAAGAACATCTTATCAGTACAGAATATTTAAAAGTCAACAACAGTTTGTATTATTAGAGGTTAAATCTGTTAGTTCCATAGAACATTCATCACATTATAGCTCACAAGTAAAATTTAAATAACTATTCTTTCTTAACATGCTTTTGAAATGCCAGTAATGGTTAAACCAATGCCCATCATCCTATGGTTTATTAACTTGGCCACTTCTGAGAAGGGACAGAGGTATAAAGTTATGCTAGGGAATGCTTGTAGTTGTTCTTCCTTTTTCTCCCAAGAAAAAGACCCAAACATTACCATGGTGTAATCAGGGCAACATTCCTGCGAAACAGAACATTCAAGCACAGAACACAGTTCAAATCATTTCTCGAAAGTAATTGGAGATTTTAATGTATTTAGTTTGATAAGGTTCTGATTAATTATGTAAGAGTATTTTATGTCATTTTTAATATCAGCTTATTACAGTTGTACAGAAGTCCTTCTCTTACTTTCATTTCCTTTGAAATATTTATGGGGTTTTTTAAGGAAGTTTTTCAAAATAAAGATTGAAAAAGCATAGAGAACCTGTATATGGACTGAAATATTCAACCAAATGCATAAATAACCAGTTATTTCAGGTCTTCTACACCTTAAGGAGTTTGCAGCTTGGTGAGACAGCCCATGCACACTGAAAAAGTGCAAGACTGCACCAAAATTCAACCTCAAGTATGAAGAACTGCAGTTTAAGCTGTCATGGCCACAATCACGTAGGCAGGTTTTTTAAATATAAGGTATTTTTAATATTTTTTTCTAAAATCATACACACACATACAACAAAGAGGAACTGCCCTTGGAAACATGCAAAATTACACCAATAATCTAACATTTATAAAGCAATTTAAATGAGCTTTGATTCCTACATGCTCTAGAAGCATCTTTCTAACCACTGCAATTCTGGAGAAAAACTAGTTTAACTAATTCCATTTTTGCCTATTTCTCACAAATTCATTTTAAAAAAATGCTTTCTACAATTCCTAAGAGATAAGCAAATGTAGATTTTTATACACAACTCCAGACATTCAGAGTTTTCACATAAATGTTTCACCAGGAGTCCCTTCATATTTTCATTAAGACAATGGCTAGGACAGGTACTATCTCAACATTACAGCCCAAGGAGACACGGCAACAACCTTGTATTGTTAATATGATCACAATTTCTGCAGCAGCAATGCAAAATCCACAGTGTTGAAAGAGAACAAAAAGCAATCTTAAAGGAACTTCAGAAAGCAAAAGCTTAATTTAATGGTTACCAAGAGCTTTGGTTCGTTCCCCCCTTCCTCTTTTTTTTTTAAGCTATACCTCAAAAGCTCTCGCTTTGGCTGTGGTCTGCCTCTGGAATTCAAAGCTGTTCATTATCACTTCTTACCTAGGGCTTGGCTGACAAATGCCACTATATTCATCATTACTTCTGTCCAAAATAATAGAGACCATGGGGAATATAGCTCTGTTCTGTGGAAATGCAGATGTCCACTGGGCACTGTCAGATGCAGACCATCTTTGCCTACGCAGTTGGCAAAGATGATTTACAAGATTTCCCATGGTTGGTTAACCCATAATGAAGTAAAATGTTTCATACTGGCTAGCGTAACGTGCAAAACCCAGAGCAAAACCCTTCTGATATTTTGACTGTCCTATAAAACACAATTTGGCAAACATATTTTATATAAGCATAAAAATGGTAATGAGCTTTTGGCTTGAGATCTGATACAAGGAAAATGAGCCATCACAGCAATCAGTCTGACATAAAAAACAGGCCAGTGGTAAAACTCCATGCTTTTCTCTTTAAGGAAATGTCTGTAATACCTTAAACAGTGGTATCATTACAATCACTTTCACTTGACACTGAAACGAATCTTGGTGGTTCTCAAAAGGTTGTTCAGGAAAGAGGAATGAACTATGAAAAAGTGGTTCTTTCTTCAGTGAAAATGGCTACTTCACAAAGCCAAATATGGATCATCAGCAACACCCCAAGCAACAGCTTCCAAACACTACCTTGCTATTTTAAAAATGCACATTTAATACATTTTAGACAAGTTAATACTCCTATGAAGAGAAGGGCTAATGCAGCCAGGTGTTTTACTGTCATGTAGATTCAGTGGTGCCTAAGAAGGTCTCAGCTTCACTGAAGGCTCTCCTACCATGACAATATTCACAGTCTCTCTCCTCTCTAAGGCACTCACACTGCTGCCTTTATTTCTGCAAGGCTAAGAATGATGCCTGTCATCTTTAGCTGGCTGCCTATTTTCTCAATGTATTTAGGAATTCTCCACTTTTGAGACCACTACCTCTGCAATATCTGCTTCAAACTGGTTATGGGGTCAAGGTTCTTTGAGGACAGGTGAGAATATGGGGTTAAGAAGCCAGTCTAAATAAAATAAATCTCAGCATCACCAAAAAATCACTGGCTATAGCAAATCACTCCCAGTTTTACAAAGCACAGATGCAAGACTGATGTTTTCCAGTTAAGTCTATCTGTAATAAAAATCTTTTTCACACAACCTCTACTCCTGTTATTAATGTGAGCACTACTGTGAATAGAAAAAAGTATATGCTTGAAATTAAAAAGAAAGAAACACACAGATATTAAAGACTAGAATCCACTCTTTCTTCTTTTGTAGATTTGCCACAAAGGAACTTAATCGGATCAGTGTTGAATTAAAAAAGACACCATTTTCCTGGAAAACGTGGCATATCTAGTGATAAGAGCAGTGTAGATAAGCTGCAGAGAAAGGAAGTCAGTTCTACTAGCACAGTACTACAGTAGCATAATATACACAGCACAAAAGTGCGATCTGGTACTACATCTGTTAGGAAAGACTGAGTACTGGCAGGACTACAAAGATGTTACAATGCCATCCAGTAGCACAATTTATGAGATTAATTAAAAAACAAAACAAAATCCCCCATGCTAAATCCACGACAAAACCAAGGTTTCTCATGAGTGGTTTTAGAGTTATAGTATAATGTAGCTTACAAAAGGTCCACAAATGAAATCTTCAGCATAAATCTATGTGCAAAATTCTATTTTATCCAAAGCTTATTATCTGAATCACTGTTGCATGACACCAGATTAAAGACAAAGACTGGGAACAAGCAAAACAAAGAATTTTGCATGTTAAGCCAAAAATTTATGCAACTATCTCCACATATGGGAAATCAACAGCCAAACAAAAACCACACACATCCACCCCACACACAAAGACCGCCCATCTGAAAACACAGTTAAAGGTAACACTAATTTTCATATGGGAAAAATAGATATAGTAAGCAAGATCCATCATTTATCTGCTTTCAAAACAGCTGAAGTTAATATCCCACAGGCTTTTCTACCATTGACTGCTAAAAATATTAGATCTTTCAAGCTGCTTATTGCAACCTACAGAAATCGCAAATTCAGCTACAAGTCTTGAGGTTATCAATACTGAAACTGGAAAAAAAGGTGGTCTGGAAAGTGTTAAATTAATACCAGGCAGAAGGATTGTCAGCTATGGAAGCTGCACAAAAAAATCCCAGCGAGAGAGCAACAGAATCTAAATCTACACTGCTGGTGGGCTGTATGCACTTACGTTATGAGAAAATGATAGTACAATCTATAGTAATAACGGATCATACCAAAGGACCACGTCCTACATTGTTCATGTCTAAAACATAAAAAATCCAAACCAAATTTACTATAGGATATTCCTCTCCGTCTGCATCTCTCCAGGAAGCAAGATGCTCGCCCACATCTAACACCTGGGTTACAATCATCCTGCCTTTGATACCCAGAGATCAGATTTATTGAATGTTCTACCCAGCCTGAACACAGTCACCACTCGGAAGAAAAACCGCTGCAGCACTGGACTTGCTAAGGAACATTCCTAGCTGGAAGTACAGAGCTCAAGCTTTCTGCAAGCCATCTAACTCTTTATGAATACAATGCCATTGGCTTTGAATTATTACTAAAGCCTATATGCTTGGGGTCTGCTGTATTCAAAACGTATTCTTTTCTTTACCTTGCATTTACTCCAGCCACTTGCTCTCCTTAAAGTAACACTTTCTGCAGAATTGTCTACTTGGGATGAGCTCACCATATGATCAGAACCCCCCCTGTGCTGGAGATGGACAGAAAACAAAGGAGGAGATGGACAGAAAACAGTATTAGCATCAACATAAATAAATTTTAAAGTGCCACGAAACTCCAGTGTAAGCTGAAAAGCTGCTGTTGCCAAATTGCTGTCCATAAAGATGCATCAATTATGGAAGGTACTTTCTTTTACTAGGTTGAAAGACCTGGGCTCAGCTAAACTGCAGTGCACACAGCAGAGCCTACCTTCTTTTTGCAGCAACTGTAAAAAGCAGTTAAAACCAGTCATATTTGAGGCTTGCTGGGGTTTGGTTTGTTTTGTGGTTTCTGGTGTTTGGGGTGGGTTTTGCAAATCACTGATCTAAGAATGACACCTGCCTCTGCACTGTGTGGGCAATGTGGATTATTAGGTATGGCATCTATTGTTTTAAACATAGTTAAAGCTTCTGAAGATAAGGGCGAAGGTTTAGATTATGAATATGTAACCACTGGGAACAGTACTGTTTAATATCTTCATCAATGACATAGAAAATGGGATTAAGTGCACCCTTAGCAAGTTTGCAGATGACACCAAGCTGAGTGGTGCGGTTGACCCACCTGAGGGACAGGATGCTGTCCAAAGGGACCTGGGCAAGCTTGAGAAATGGGACCATATAAACCTCACGAGGCTCAACAAGGCCAAGTGCAAAGTCCTGCACCTGGGTCCAGGCAACCCCTGGTATCAATACAGGCCAGGGATGAAGGGCTTGAGAGCATCCCCTCACCTCTAAAGACTTGGGGGTACTGGTGGATAAAAAGATGGGGTTATTGGTTGATGAGAAGCTTAACATAACACATCAAAAGAAGCATGACCAGCAAGTCAAGGAAAGTGATTCTACCCCTCTACTCTGCTCTCATGAGACCCTACCTGCAGTATTGTGTCTAGCTCTGGGGCCCCCATCATAAGAAGGATGTAGACCTGTTGAGACAAGTCCAGAGAAGAGCTATGAAGATGCTCAGAGGACTGGACTACCTCTCCTATAAAGACAGGCTGAGAGAGTTGGGCTTGTTCACCCTGGAAAACAGAAGGCTCCAGAGAGACCTTAGAACAGCCTTCTAATGCCTAAAGGGGGCCTGTAAGAAAGATGGGGACAAGGCTCTGAGCTACCTGATGTAGTTGAGGATGTCCCTACTCATTGCAGGGGGGTTGGACTAGATGACCTTTAAAGGTCCTTCCAACCCAAAAGATTCTATGCTACAATTCATGAGCTTCCTCATTTAGAAAAACATATGTAGAGTGATCTGTACAGGGTCTATGGATCAACCTGAGATTTACTGCTCACAAACAAGTGACAGTCATGCAGACCTGTGTTCCTGCTTTAATGTGAGCCTTAAGCATAATCCTTTCTTGTGTTTACAAATTATGCAGGACAAAGTACCTATTCATGCAAGCCACTTCACAAAGATTAATTGAATGCAGGCTAGCAGGAAAATATCAATAATTAACCCTCTGCTTGTAGTTTATAGTCTAATAAAACCCAGGCATGAAGTGTTCAGGAATATGAAGAGTATTGCTTCTAATCTGATCCCCAATTTCAACAGCAACCGTGCTCTCGTAATCACAGCCAAGAATACAAAATAAAAGTTAAAAGAAGTGTTACATGGGAAAAATGGCAGGGTTTGTAAAAAATGCTGCACACACTGATAATTTCATTTTATTATTCATACTGTTCAATTTCCAGGAAAGCAAAGCAAGATGTATGAAGAACTGATAAGGGAAAAAGAAGCTATAGTCCACTATACTTATCAGGGAAAAAGAAGAATTTGCTGCAGTCTATTCCATCAGAGACAATTAAGTAACTCTCCAGACTCTCTCTTTTCTTTTTTTCCCCCCAGATAAATGTTATTGGAAAAATCCTTCTCTGTAAGATATAATTTGGCATTATCTGAAGAGTAAGAACTCCTTGGACAGGAAAATAGTTCTTAAGCCCACTTTCAATTGGGCCTTGCCCATGCCATTGTATTTTGCTGCAATTCTGAAAGACTAGAACTGAGGCAATGCTGTAACAATCTGTCCTACTCTGTGCTGACTGCAAAGTCCAAGTCCATACTGTGCAGTATAATGTAATTATTTATAACAGTATTGTAGCAGAGTAACATTATTAGTCAAGGAAAAGCCCACGGTAGTTGATCAATAACCAGAGGTAACAAACAGCAGCCAGGAACACAGAAAATATAATACTAGAAACTGTCACAAGTTTTTAGATAGAACTCTTTGAAAAGGTAAAGAAATAGAAAAATACACGTATAATTTTTTGCTCTTCTCATCTCTCTCTGAAGAACAGATGTAATAAATCAGCAACTAGCTCACCATTTTGAGATCTCTATAGGTAGCTCAGCAGCAAAAGAGCAAGTCACATTTGCAGCACTATTACACATACTCACTGTATTTAAGACATTGTTTAACTTGAAGTTATTATTTGTGCAATCTTCCTAAATTCTAATGGATAAAGAGCAACTCCACAGTAAAACATGGGAATAAAGCTGCACTATCCAAGGTTATAATTCAATTTACAGCCAATTTTTCAAAAGCCCATAGGTGGTTAAAGTGCCTCATCTAATACTCAATTCAAAACACAGGCACTAGCTATTGAAAACAAAAAATTATAACAAAGCACCATCAATTCTCTGTAAATCACTTTAAGAACACTGGTGAAAATGTTAAAAACAGCCTCTCTGCAACAAGCAGTCTGTGTCACTGTAACTGTATAATAAAACTGTTTTCCACACTCTAACTTGGCCGCATACTAAGAGGTATATAAGTGAGAACATAAGACATTAATTTCCCAGCCTTTTTATGCTTGTATTGGTATTATACAAACTCAAAAAACTTCTGTATTTTCAGTTTAAAATGCATTTTTCTAAGGAAAAGTTGTTAATTCTAAAGAAAGTATAAATGTAAAATTCGCCATGTCATTATTGTGCTGAACTGCCTTGGCTACAACGCACTCTGGGTAATACAACTGCCTATCAGTGCCCCTTCACCCCATTTTCTAGCATGGACTAGTTGAAATAACATCTCTGAAAAGTTCTGGCTTCATTCAGAAGCCCATTATTTAACAAGCATAACCTGAGAACAAAATATTGTCCATTACTGACATTTGGAACATTCAAACCACTAAAACGAAGAATGGTTGGAATATTAACAGCCACATTTTGAAATATACTCACCCTGGATTATAAAGCATAACTGCTGACAGGTTCTCACAGGATTTTGAAAGATCTGTCATAGACAAGCTGAAGGAAGACAGCAGTCCACTCTAACAACAGACCATAAAATAAATGTATTAGACAAACACTGATGTGCTTACAAACCTCTTCCTTTGTCTCTCTTGGTGAAATATTAACTAAAGTATGTGAAGCAAATAAAAAAATGTATTCGACAATAATCTGTATGAGCAAGAAAACTGTGAGAAACCAAACACTGATTTAATCTCACCTTCCTTTTCTCCCTTAGTTTAGCAGCTTCTTTGGGGTGGTTAAAGCGAAACATATTGGTTCTTCCAAGTAATATAACAGCACCTGATAAGAAAAACACACACCATTCACTGACAACATTCTGTATCTGAAAATGCCATGTAATTTTTCAGACAGACTATATAAGCAAAGACTTCCATTAAGCAAGAACAAAATGAAAATGCATTTTTACATTTCAAGTGTATGATGATGCATGGTCACATCCACATTAACCAATCTATACAGTTTATTCCTTCCTTTTGCTACTTAAAAAAAATAAACAAACCATGTATGTTTACACACACAAAGATCTATCATGTTCATGCAGTTCAGTTAAAGAATAAATATAGGTAGAGGAAGCAGTTGCCTGAGTTTGATCTATACAACCTTCAACAGTGCTACTTTGGAAGCCATCAGTAGGTACCAGATGCAACAGGAATGTCCATGAATGTGACTAAGTACAAACTTGCCCATCCACTACTTATCACAGCCAAGTTTGAATCCACTTACACTAAAAGCTCCAGATCTCCATAATTTGTACTCTCACTTACCTTCTTATTCTCTATGTGGAACAACACTGAAGTTTATTGTCACTTGAAATGGGATTATTGGACTTTCATATCCAATAGCTATTTCCTGAGAGAAGAATCTTGAATAATTCATGTTGCTCAATGCACATGCATTATTGTATTTATCAGTTAAGGTACAGGTCACAAATAATGAGATTCTGGGCAATTCTTATCATATTTTAAAGACAATGGCACCAAAATTAATAGTTTCCTACTAAAAAGTACATTGTCAGTGATGTCTCACTACTGTCATAACATGGAATTCTTCCAAGTTAGCAACTACGGAATCACGCATTTATTTGTCAGTCGGTGTGAGGCATTTCTAAGAAGAAAAAGGTCTCCATTACACTCACAGTATGACAAAAATTGCACTTAAGAACACTTGTTCACCAAACAAATTCTTACCATCTGAGAATGAAATGCTATCCTTAACAAGGAATGCTCCTTTTAAAACTAGCTTGATTAGGAACATCAACTTAAATAAGGTCATCCAGTCTTGGCAAATAAACAGCAAAAGCCCAACAGTCATGACATCACTTCTTGCTGTCTACACAACACATCTATTTTGGACCATATGAACAGCCTAATTTTAAAAGGAATTATCTTTCATAAATCTATTGCAATGTATACATAAATGTATTGCAAAGTCATTTTGATATCACCTCTAAGTTATGTGATGACCTTTCCTTCAAGTGCGCTGGGCACGTTTTTCATGTGAGCATACCAAAAGGGATGGCTGATGGCCATGACTGCTGTGGCAAAAGGGCTAAAACTGTTTTTAGCCTACCACTACTTCATATGCTCACAGTTCTCCCAAACATTTATCATAGAATCATAGAGTGGTTTGGGTTAGAAAGGACCTTAAGATCATCTAGTTCCAACCCCCCTGCCACGAGCAGGGACACCACACACTAAACTATGTCGCCCAAGGCTCTGTCCAACCTGGCCTTGAACACTGCCAGGGATGGAGCATTCACAACTTCCTTGGGCAACCCATTCCAGTGCCACAGCACCCTCACTGTGAAGAACTTCTTCCTATTATCTAACCTAAAGTTCCCCTGTTTAAGGAATTTAAGCCATTACCCCTTGTACTACCACTAGAGTCCCTAATGAAGAGTCCCTCCCCAGCATCCTTACAGGCCCCCTTCAGATATTGGAAGGCTGCTCTGAGGTCTCCACGCAGCTTCTCTTCTCCAGGCTGAACAGCCCCAACTTTCTCAGCCTGTCTTGCTGACTGCCTGGAGGTGGGGTTTGTGACAGTGAGGATTTCTATGAAATTCCTTCAGTTACTTTCAAATGAAGATTAAAAAAGTAACTGTAAACATTTTTGACCACTTTACTAGGTGGAAGGAACTTTAATTAATTACCTAACATTTCAGATTGAATACAGTTACATATATGTGTACCTAACTTCATGAATTTAAAAGAAAACAGGAGGGAGAGGCTTAACAGCAAGGACACGACAGTCAAACCCCAATGACAGATCATATAGCTTTCTCTCTTAGTGCTATGAATATTTTGATACTATTCTATCATTAAAACAAACTGTCCAATCTTAATTCCCACTTAACAGAACTTAGATAAGCATCAGCACCAAAGCTTCTTTCGGGGAAAAAAAATCTGGTTGAAACCCTGCAGCCTAATATTTCCTAAGCACCAGGTCCAACTGTCCACTGTTGTGCAATGCAGCTCTCCATCAGAATGCAAGGGTGCGAAGTGTAAATATTGTCATGGAAACATAACTGGATTTGTTATGAGGTTCACTTTTCATTTATTTACTGTATGCAACAATTCTCATTCTCCTTGAATGTTAAATGGCAAAGAATAAAGGTTTGTCAAATACAGATAGTATCACGAACAACAAAAACTAAGCAAAAAGGACTTTATCATAGAATCATAGAACGGTTTGGGTCAGAAAGGACCTTAAGATCATCTAGTTCCAACCCACTGCCACAGGCAGGGACACCTCACACTAGACCATGTCGCCCAAGGCTCTGTCCAACCTGGCCTTGAACACTGCCAGGGATGGAGCATTCACAACTTCCTTGGGCAACCCATTCCAGGGCCTCACCACCCTCACAGTAAAGGACTTCTTCCTTCTATCTAACCTGATAATTTATGGAGCTCTGATCTCAACATTTAACTGGTTGACTCCAACACATAAATGACCAGAGAGCATAGGGGAAAAATTATATATACATACATGCATACATATATACATATATATATATGTAAAGAATGCCTGCTGAGTGTTATCAAGCACCTTGCCTACACAGAACAGTATCTTGGAACTATACAAACAACCGTATCTACAATTAAGATCTTACCAACTTCTAAAAGTCACTTTTATATTTTTAAAAGTTTTTTGGGGTTTTCTATTAACAAACTATAAAAAACAAGCAGTGGGAGGTTACGTCAAGTACAGAAGAGTTGGCATTTTGGCCTAAAAAGCTGAAAACTTCATTTAAAGAGAGGATATATTTAAGGTAAAGGACAGACTCTAATTCTGAATGTTAATGCAGTTACTTCTAGAAATCCTACCATATGTTCTTAAGAATAAAAAAAAAAATACTGTAGTAAGTTCCATTTACACAAAAAGGCCACATTAGCCAGAATTCACAAATGCTGGAAGTAACCTGTAGAAGGAAGTGGTAATCAATTACTATGCCTCTTTTCTTTTAAAAACTCCAAGACAGTCAAAAACTTAACCCATTTTCAAATGAACAGTTATTAATGATGAACGGAAACATTTAAATATATCAGCAGTTAATGAGCATTACCTAAAGCAGACATTCAAGGAGGCTGGCACTTCCTGCTGTGAGACTAAATGCTAACACAGTTAGGATACATGGATCAGGCACAAGTCGTTAAACTAGTTATATCATCAGTTTTGCCCACCTGATGTCAGAGCTGCACCCTTGCTCTCAGTCTGTCTGGTTGCACATTCTACAGATCAGCTCATGAAGCTGTTTTCTCAATTTAATTACTCTGAGCAACCTTTTCCCTTTCTTCTGAGTCACAAATTTCTTTAGACAGAAATTCATGAGGAAAAAAAATTCATGTTTCTACTCTTCACAGTACGAAAATCAAGTTGTTACATATGCCTGGAAGAGGGAAACTGAATCCAAACTCCTACTTTCTTCTGTAGCACATTGAACTTCTACTGCCTTTGAAATGCAATAGGAAAAAGTAAAGATGAGTCACTGCAACTCAATTTTTATTGTTTACAGTGTTATCTGCCATCAATGTCAATGTTTCTCTTGCTAATAACTTATCAGTGGGATTTACTCAAACATAAGACAAAGGGGCTGGGCTTTCTTTCCCTCCCTCTCGGCCCAGTATCTGCAATGGAAACAAGTGCATATGCTTCTTGTTCTGCATGAAGAAATAGATACTTTACAAAATCAATGTCTCCTCTCTACATCTAAGCTCCTTCCTTTCTGAAAGCAGAATTCCATAGCAGTTCTTTGAGTTCAGAAAAGATGCAAGACTTCCCTTGTTCAACACTGCAGTCTTCCTCTGGTAGAATAAGCTTACTCTGAAACCTTCTTTTAAGGAACATAAAGTGAGATTGTTTTCACAGCCTCCCTCCTGAACAGGTCTTCAGCTAATTGCTAAATGGGAAGATATTCTGGGTGCTCCTGGAAGACAAAACATCCCGACCCTCTGCCGCAGCACTCACCAGATTACTTGTCAGCCAGTCCTTTCCAGGCCAACACAATACACCTTTGTTCCCAGCTGTCCTGGCTGCTTTTTCATGTCCAGACTTTAAAGGTCTTATATTAAAATTCCAGTTCTATACACTTCCTCCATAACGGTTAGCCTTCCCCTTTCTGTCATTTCCCTACAGCTGCAGTGAACAGATACTCCAGCTCAATCTCCCGCTGTACAAAAGGATTTGGCAACAGAGTGCTAAGTACGACAGGTTTGAAGCTCAAGGGAGGAGGCAGGGGTGTCTCTAAAATTATTTTAGTCCTACAGAGACCAATATTCTTTTTCTTAATATTACAGCAACCTGGCGTGGAGTTCACTGTATGTATAAACGTTGAATGACATCAAAGGGGAACTATTAAATCATACTCAAGATTCTGAAGTGGCTTAAATGAGTAAAGAATTCTTTTCATCACATGGCGATTCTCTGACAGGTAAAACTCTCTGGCCCTCCTGATGGTTTTGGGCTGTAGTTCAGAAGACATGGAATTAAAATTAAATAAACAATAACTCCTTTATATACACTCAGATTTTTTCTGTGCTCTTGCCAGAAATAAACAAAGATGATGTATCAAAAATGACATTATAGTGGGTAATACCTTGGTTTAGGTGTGTGGCCTCTGTAATCTGAATACCATTCACAGAACACTGCGCCCCATTCAGTGGTATTAGATTCACAGTACCGTCAAGATTTTCAAAGATGCAATGCTCACTTTCCAAATCAAGGCCATGAAGAACTAAACACAAAGGAAAAAGGTAACTTAGTCTCCAAACAAGATTATCATGCTCATATTAATTTATTATGGACACATGACACTACGGACTATTTTTTCTCTTTATCTGGACAATGTTTTTTTCCTTCCTTCATCACATCCTGCACACCTAAAGTATTGACCCCATTTATTGTTTTATTGTAGTCGAAAGAATGACTGGGTTTAGGTTTTTTGATGTAATGTTATGTCCTCCCACATTTGGCACCTGATTAGCAAATGCTTTTTTCCTTCTGGGGGACAAAAAAAAAAATCCAGAAAAGTAAAATTTATGTATTTTTGGACCAGTTTCACTGGGTAATAATGAAAGCTTCTTGACCTTAAAGCAACCATGCTTAAATCTGAAAAGACAGCATATAATACGCAACTGAGACTAGCAAGAATGGCTGAAGTAAGGTTCTTATGTTCTATGACATTCAGGTCTTTTATCAATCAGTTCTGCTACTTTCTATTTCTTCTTCAAACTGAGGTATGACTATTTCTACCTGTATTGTTTGATAACACAGAGCAATGCAAGCTTGATACTTTAATGGAATCCATATAGAAATTTTAACACAAGCATCTCTTGACCACAAAAATGAATCAAACTAAGTCACTTGACTCTCAGTCTCTCACCTGAGAATTAAAAGGATGCAGTTTATTTAAGGAAACTGCCTTCAAGCAACATATGTGACAGTCCAGGTCTGGCAGCTAGTCACTTTGATAAGAAGTGAATAAGAAAATCAGTAGAAGCAGCCTACCTACATTTTACCAACTTTCAGAATTTTCTTCAACTCAAATCTGAAGTCCAAAGACTGCTTCAGGTATAACAATATAGCAATACAACAATACTGTCATTATACAAAGGGTAAGAGAATGACTGTGCAGTAATTGTGACAGGTGCTGTATGAAAAAAGAAGCTATGTTTACAGGATGCTATTTCAAGAGAAGCAAGAAATAAATTAGTTAACAAGTATACGAATATACATAAATTTTAAGCCCACAAGCTGTTATAGAAGTCATGCTCTTCGAAGCAAATGCCATGTAATTCAGCCCTCAAATTTTCTAAAAATTAAAATACACAAGAACTTAGAGACAACTGGAAAAGGGAAAAAATTATGAAGCTTTGTTCACATATTGGGATGTCAGGAGGAAGAAAAGCAACTGAAAAATGAATATTAAAAAAATGCCAGATTCCATACCAATATCCTGTTCAGTCATAGCATCATCTCTGCCAACATGTGTTTGACCTTCCTAATTGAGAGAGAAAAACATTATTTTCAGCTAAATCTCCCTTTTTCCCCAGCAAATATATAATTTATCCTTCCTCTTTCTGAGTAACCTGAACAAAATACAGGTTTAAACACACAGGAAAAAAAAATTAGGCACCATTTTTAGAAACTTTTCACAGTCATTACTATACAATATTATTATCTGCAAATTCAAGCTTCAACCATCCTGTGTAGAACCACCTTTGTAGCTTTGAGGCAATTAAGCTGGATTTGGATTTCAAGTCAAGCTTTATAATGAGATGAATGACAAACCATATACATGTGTACAAATATTAAACATCCATCTCTGGTTAACCAGTTGACCCTCAGGATAAACTTAAACAAGTAAATTAAGAGATGTTTTAACTGAATCAGTTGCAACCTCATAAGAGCTTTTCCCACGTAGCCAAGAAACGTAATAAGCTTTTCTAACTACAGTGGAGAAATGTAATGAACACTATATTTAGATAGAAAATTAATACTACTATTTGTCTACTGAATAAAATCACAAGGCATATAAAGGCTATGGAAATACAGGTATGTATTTACCTTCAAGTGGTACAAGATGATACCAGTACTGAGAAGATCATCATCAATGCCAATTAGATGAGGCAGTTCAGAATCTAACACAACACCTATCCCTTCTTTCCTTAGAGCCAAGGTTTGTTCCTGTAAAGGACAAAAATCTATTCATTAGGATATGCAAGAAGCACCAATCTTCCTTCTCTTTCTAGACCACATTTAATGTAACTTATTCTCTGAAATGTCACCCCCAAAGAAGGGCAGAGATTTTAATTTTTTCTCCTCATTTTAAATGTGACTTTTAGAATTCCACTCAGCACTCCAAGCTTGCTGTTCAGGACATCTGTGAAAGAATTATTTGAAAGAAACCAGACTAACAGCTGAATTATACCAGATAAGGAAGATCAATCAAGAGGATAACAAAGCAATGTTGTCTAAAAGCAAGCTACATACCACCTTGCATAATGGTAAGGAGAATTTAAAACTCCTCATAATTCAGTACAGCTAAGGAATAGAAAACTGAAAACTCTTTGGCAGTCCTTTACATAAACTGAACCCAGCTCAGTAAACCCGACTGACACCTGAAAATTTGGTAAGCCTAAGCAATTAAAATATCATCCAATGTACAGGAAGCATTGACAATAGCAAACAAATGTAAGAACCATTTGCAGCACATAATTTCACTTCTACAGATTCCTCTGGACCACATTGTACAGCCACGATGCTTTAAGA